GGGGGGCGGGCACAGGGGCCGGGCCCCGGGGCTGCCTCCCGGCGCTGGGCCGGCTGCTATCCCCGTCACGCAGTGAGTGTGTGTGCGCCGGCCAAACAGAATCCTGGACAAGTATGTGACGGATTCTGCTTTTTAAAGATAATCCTGTGGGTAAGGAAGGCTTTTGAAATTGGAACAAAATGAACCACTTCAAATATTTCTCAGATTTCTTTTTTTTTTCTTTCTTATGAAATACACAGACCCTAAAAGTAATGCCAGTTCTCTAGGGTAGGGTTGGTTGGCAGCAAAAAGAGAGTCCTTGGTTCGAGGAGTGGGAGAAGCGGACTTTAAAACTGTCAGTTGACCTGCTGAACATTGTGGCCGGGCTGCTTCCCGTGCTCAGGCCCCTAAAACAGAGGCCGTGTGAGGACACGCTTGACCAAGAAGGCTGTTCCCTACAGGTCTGTGACAGCAAGTCCTACAAGAGCAAGGAGCCCCAGGAGTTGGCGGGCAGCAGTCCCCACCGGGAGGCCAGCCCTGGGCCCGGTGCTAAGGAAGCCGGGCAGGGCAAGGACCTGCAGGAGGAGGAGGCCCCCGAGGAGCGAGAGAGCACGGAGGCAGCCCAGGACCAGCCTGGCAGGAGTGTTGGAAGCGGAGGGACGCCTCTTCCCGGTGAGCCCCGCCTCTGTCCCTGTTCCCACCTCATTCTAACGTGCTTCAAGCAAGAACGTCTTCGAGCCAACGCGCTGCCCATTAGATTACTCAAGTAACAGATCCTCTGTCCGGCCTTAGCTTTGCTGTGGCCTCTGCCCCCTGGCAGAATTGGGAGTGCTACCACCTGCATGATGCGCACTCTCTCCCCCTGCCCTCCTGACCCCCGTGATCTGCACCCCGAAGACTCGGTCACTCTGGGCCGTGGCAGAAACCCGTATCACCGTATAAGCGACTTCAGGCCCCACCCTCGCCTCAGTCTTTGAGGTTGGGGCTCTGTCAACAGTAATCAACCTGCATGGCCCTGCGGTAACTCGGGGTTCTAGGTGCATCTTGACCCTGTCTGTACCCTCAGATCTTTACTTTTCTCCTAAGCAGGATTGGCAGTGGGGAGCACTGTGCTCTCCCCTCAGGAAGTGACTCTTACAGACCAGCTCGTCCTGGATGACCCACGGCCCTGCTCGCCGGAGACCCCTCACCTTCCCTCCAGTACTGGGGCCATGCTCTGCACTGGGAGGAGAAGCCAGGCTGGGCAGGAGGTCCTCTCCTGCCCTCAGGCATCCCCCAGACTTCGGAAGGAGAGGGAGGACCAGAAGGCAGTGGGTGAGCCAGAGGCTTCCATGCCTGCCTGGGAGGCTTCGGAAACAGAGAAATGGCCTGGAACTGTTGAGCCCCCTGCTTCCTTCCTGAGTCCCGTTTCCTCAAGGACCAGAGACGTGGGGAGAAGACAGGTGTCTGAGAGATCAGATACTCCAGAGAGTTGGTTGCTGGCAGGCAGAGCTGCAGTGAAGACAGGAAACAGGATGTCCCCTGTCCGTGAATCTCCTTCATCAGGAATTGACACCTCAGAGACTTCTTCCAAAGCCCCTAGGGCAGGTCTGGCTAAGGACAGTGGAAGCCAGGGCAAGGGTCCAGCGGGAGAGCCACACCCAAAGGCCACAGAAGCGACAGTCTGTGCCAACAACAGCAAGGTCAGCTCCACTGGGGAGAAGGTGGTCCTGTGGACAAGGTAGGTAGGGGTGGAGGACGTGTGTGTGTGAAATTCGTGGAACACATCCACGTTCCTAATCTGGGACTAATCGTGATACGTGGTTTCCAGGGAAGCTGACCGCGTGATTCTCACCATGTGCCAGGAGCGAGGAGCACAGCCACAGACGTTCAGCAGCATCTCCCAGCAGCTGGGAAATAAGACCCCCGCCGAGGTAAGTGGCTTCAGCCCTGCTAGAACGTCAAGCCCCAGGGAAACCGAGGAAGGGACGGGGTGGCCAACCAAGAGACAAGCCCCAAGGGCCCAGAGGAGGGGCTTGACTCATCAGGGCACATGGCAGTGGTTCTAGAAGAGAAAGGGCACTGGATTTTGAGGTAGAATCCCAGAGATTCCGTTCTGGTTTGTTTTTAGGGCCAAACCTGAAGCCTCTTGAGTTCCCTTATCTGTGGAGGGCGCAGCCCTCAACACCTTACTGTGTGGCGCAGACGAGATTGTTCCCGTCAGCGTGCGTGCTTAGTGTATGTGGGAACTGCACCTTCTCGCCCTAGGTTTCCCACCGTTTCCGAGAACTCGTGCAGCTCTTCCACACGGCCTGCGAGGCCAGCTCCGAGGAGGAGGAGGACGCCACCAGTACGAGCAACACAGACCAGCTGTCAGACCGCGGGGACCTTCTGTCTGAGGAGGAGATGGACGGGTGACTGGGCACGCACGCCTGTCGTCTGCACCGCCGGCCCCCGCCGGCCCCCCGAGGGAGGGCGCTTGTACTGTGCAGGGGTGCCCCTGAGCTCAGGACACAGAGCCGCAGGGGCTGTGAGGACAAGGACAGAGGCAGACCGGGGGCTGGACAGCCGTGCCCGCGCAGGCGTCGCTCAAGGTCTTGGGAAGCTACGTGTGCTCGGCCCTGGGGGGGGGAGGGGCTCAGCTCCTTTGTTCCCCTTGGTCCCACGGCGCGTATTTATTGAGACCTGATCGCGGCACTTCTAAATGCAGCACATTCCGTGCTGGTGTAGGCAGTCCCAGAACACGGAGTCCTGCACCCACGGTGTTTATTGTAAAGCAGCGCTTTCCTTTGCTCGGAACACCTTAGTCCGCGAGGCCATCGCCACCCTGGTAGCACTGGGCCAGGCTGCCCAGCTCCTGCAGCGCCTCCTCCACGTCCCCCTGCTCCACCCCGGCGTCCATGAAGCTGGCCCAGCGCCGCACGTCCAGTTTGCCGAGCTCTCTAGCCAAGTCTCCCAGGGCCCGGCCCGAGGTGGAAGAGGAGCAGAGGGCCCCAAGCACTGGAATGCTCTCCACAGCTGTGGGGGGACAGAAAGGGGAGCCTGCCCTGGGCTCTGCTGCTGACAGGGAAGTCTGGGTCTGTGGCAGACCTGGCAGGGGCGTGAACCCCGTGAATCCTGAGCGCTGCCCCCTTGGTGGACCAGTTCCCCAGAGGAGGCCACTCCCCTCAGTGGCTGCAGTGGCCTCAGTGAATAAAGGGACGTTTACCTGTGGACTTCCGTGCCTCCCTCTGGTCACACATACAGTGCGAGCTCTCATGTCCCTTCGCCACCCACGTACCTGCCCCCAATGGCGGGCCATCCAGAAGCAAACCGTGCCGGCTGAGGCTTGGGGAGAAGAGGCAGGGGTACGGAGGAACCACCTTGCAGGGCGCCAGCAGCAGGTGGGTGGAGCTGGGGGGTAAGAGCAACAGCTGAGCGAGAAGAAGGTGAGCAAAGTCGGGCGTGGGCGGGGAGAGCCGGCCTCCCACTGACCTCCTGACTCCAGGCTGCTGCTGCTGCAGATACTGGGCCAAGACGTCTTCCCCAGTGTCGCACGCATGGAGCGGTGAAGGCAGACGTGTCCCTGGGGCAAGCCGGCTGCCGGAATAAAGCCAAAACCACCTTTAGTCTGCGGCAGTGTGGATATGGAGCTGGGAAGTCTTGGGTTCTCAGGCCATCAGCTGAAGCGGGGTGCGGAGGGTCTCTCTCTCTCTTTGAACGTGGGGCAAAGGGAGGAAGAGGCAGTGCTCTGCGGATGCCCAGAATTGTTACGGAGAAAAGGATGTGAGAAGTCTGACAAGGGCTCCTAAGAACCACCCGTCCTCACCTGGTGTGGCATGCTTTGTCTAGACCCCTCAGCACCACTGACTGGGCAAAGCGTGTTCCAGAAGGATCCCCACATGCAGACAGTGGAGTCCACGCCGTGGCTCCTCCAAGCTGCACCAGGGCATCAGGAAGGGACTGGCCTGGGACCAAGGGGAAAGGGATGGTTGCTGCTGCCGTCGCCACCTAAAGGTAAGGGAGAGATCACGTAACTGAGCTTTTTCTCAGCGCTGACCCGACCCTTCACAAAGCTCCACACCTTTTTCCCAGAGGAGTTCAGCATATCAGCCAGATGAACCATGGAAACCGGTGAGGAACGTAGGCGGTAGGGAACAGTGACTGTGTCCAGGGCTGTCGCCAGGATGGCAGCACAGTGGAAGGGTAGAGTGGCCTGTAAAGAGGGTATCGACAAGGGCCCTTAGCGTTTCGGTCTGGAGGGCAGAGCGTGAAGGCAGAAAGATTCCTAATGGCAGAGAGGTCCGGGTGCTTTGGGACAAAGCAGGGTTGTGCTTGGCCCAAGGCTGGACAAGCAGAGGACAGTGTGCTGTATCGCGGCTGAGTTCAAGCAGAGGCTTCGCGAAGAGAGCTGGTAGCAGAGGTGCGATGGTGGGTCAGGATGGTGGTGGGAGGGCGCTGCTCTACCTGCCATGTGAACAAGAGCTTGAGCCTTACGTCATAATGTAGGTGAGGGAAGGTGACCGGAGGCTCAGGTCGCAGTCCCAGGCTCCCGCCCAAGGACAAGGGGCAGACCAGAGAGCTGTGAGCAGACATGTGCACCAGGCCAAAAGCTGTGTTCAGCAGACGATAGATGTTTTTCTGGGGCTCCTGGGGAAAAAAAGGGTAATTGGTTTTAAGCACCTTTCTCCCTGGGCTGTCATCCCCTCATTTTTCCCTCCCTGCCCCTGGGACTGCCTTTTCCCCAGGTTCTACTCACCCCAAGACTGTAGGGACCAGGGAGCAGGCCCCAGGTTATTATTCCCCGCCCTGAATACTCGTCCTGTAGCAACTCTGTGGCCTTCGCGCCTACCCCAGAGAAGCCATTGTGCAGGTCACACAGGATCTGGAAACCCTGGAAGGAGGCGAATAATGACAGACAGGACGAGACAAGGCTTCTGCCCGTGCCCCCCACGCCCTCCGGCTACCTGCAGGTAGTCACATTCCTCCATGTAGAAATGCAGTCTATCCTCCAGCTCTTCCAGGTACCTGGGCTCCTTCAGGACACTCTCGCCTTGGCCAAAAGCCTCTAGGCGGCCTGCTTCCCTGCCATGCATGAACACAGTCCTGACTTGCAGGAATCCCGCCATTCATCCCTCCCCTACCGCCCCCCCCCACCAAGATCCTGTGTTCAGGGAGGGCAGGGAAGATGGCCTCCAGAGCCTTATTCAACATCGGTGGGGACCCAGGTCCTTGCTTCACAGCCTCTGCGGCCCCCATACCCATCATGGTTGTACTTCTGAATCATACAGATGCTCCGGGGATGGAGATGGACGCGCAGGAAATCTGACCAGACTCTGATACTGCTCTCTGTGGGGATAAGTGGTTTGGGGGCTATAGCAGCAGGGAGTGGTGGGGGACCTGAAGGAAAAGCAAAGGAAAGGCACATTTCTTTGTGTTCCAGTTCTGCCCGGTTCCCCATCCCGTAGTACCTGGTGAAAGTCTCACCTTTGCCATTGGGGATGGGTTTGACCCTCCAGATACCATCACTACTCAGCACTCCCTGGGAGGGATGAGAAACATCTGCATTTAGCTCCAGCCAGTCCAGAAGGAAAAGTTAATTTATTCTCCCTGATTTTGCTGGCCACACCCTACTTTCATTCATGTAGTCACATTTCTTTAAGAAAAAGTGCTTTTTCCTAAAATGCTGCTCCAAGCTATTTTAAATGATCAAAATCCTTTTTTTTTTTTTCCTGTGTCCCAATGGGGGCAATCTAGTTATAGCGCTGGGTTTAAAAGCTTAGAGCAGAGGCCCTCACCTCTGCACTCAGAAGATCCTGGAGATAAGGATTTGGGGGATAGAGTTCCTCCTTGTGCGTGGTGAGCTTTCCCTGCCTGAAAGAAGACCGATTGGTTGATGACAGGGACGGTTTCAGTGATTCTCAGGCTTCCTGTGCACATCCCCCCTCCTCTGAGGACCGCAGATACCATGCTATCGCTGCATCTAGCTGTCTGTCTCCGTAGAGGCCACCTTCTTGTTTTAGGGAGCTCAGACTACCTGTACAAAAGAGAACAGGTGCTGTCAGGTCAAAGCCTAGCCCCTCCCCGCCTTCAGCTAATCTTCTTGGGGTCTCCCGACAGCCTGCTGCCACCCTCCCTCCAGCCCTTGGCTCTTCCAAGCTTTCTTGAATATTCAGGAGTTGGAAAAAGCCCTTGTCTAGGACAATCTGGGCACCATCCTTCCATTCCCAGCTCAGCCATGAGCTGTGGGGCCCTTCGAGGGGGCCACGATTCACCACCTCGCCGTCCCCAGGAACGAGGAGCCCGTTCCAGAGTCGGGTCGTGAACGGAATAAGGCGGTGCCCTCCCGTGGCCAGCGGTGCCCGCGGCTGCTCCTCGCTGGTCCTGCAGCCTGGGGCGGACGCGAGCACCGCACGCCCGGGGGACGCCTGGGCGCTGGCTGACCCCGGCCACCGCCTCACCCTTCAGATCCATGAGAATGAGCCTGGGCGTGTAGGTCTCCTGGCCGTGCGCCGTCCGGCCGGCCCGGTACAGGACGTCGGGACACAGCTCCCCCGGCGGCTCCCTGGCATCGGTCGTGGCGCACAGCGCAGCATCCTGGGGTGACACGGAGGAAGGCCCGGCCTCAGCGGGGACCGCAGGGTCGGGCCGGTAGCAGCGGCCCCTCGGGGGCAGCCGACCGGAGGCCTCACCTGCTGGTTCCACCAGTGCGCTCCCACGAAACCCGCGAAGTGGCCTAACTGCAGCGTGAGCACCTCCCGTGCCCCGCCCGCCATGCCGCTCGACTCCGCCGGGTCGCGCAGCCGCGACCGGCCAACTCCTCCGCTCGGAGCCGATTGGTTCGTAGCTTTGTGGGCGGGACCTCGTTCCCCGTGCTCTATTGGTGCACCGACACATCCTTTCCCATCAGATAAGCGATTCGTCAGGCGTCGGAGGCCCCGCCCATACCCCGCGCGGCCTGCGTGGGACGCGCTCGCTGGGGGGCGGGGTCCGGCGCGACCGGAAGTAGCGGGGCTTGCAGGGGGCCCTCGCCTGGCCCGGCGGTCGGTTCACGCGGGTGGCTCTGCGCAGCCGGTTCCCGTCGAGGCCGCGGTCTCTCCTCAGGGGCCGCTGCTGCTTGGCCGACGGCGCCTCAGGAGACACACACACCCCTGGGCCGGAGACTAGGCGCCCCTCTTCCCGCGCCGGTCCCAGCCCTCCTGGCTTCCGACCGTGAGGACTCTCCTGGCTCCGTGTCACCTTACGGGAATGAGGCGCCCTACGCGGTCCTTTGTCGACGTTGTCGGAGAAACTCTTTCCCCACCCCTGCGTGTACTTGCAGCCCCTTCCGTGGCCTCGTTGTGCGGGGACTCCGCAGACGAGGGCTCCGCTGACTCCGGGACCGGGGTCGCTCCAGCGTGCGGCCGGCGGGCGCTGCGCTGAGCCTTCCTGTGCTCCGGCGCCCGCGCTCGGCTCGGCGGGG